TGGGTGACAGAGTGAGACTCCATCTCAAAAAAAAAAAAAAGAAAAAAAAAAACAGGTTTGATCTAGTGCTTCATTTAAAATAATACGTTGAACAGAGCATTGGTTTTGCTAACTATGGAGGTTAAAATAAAACTCGTATTAAATGACATTTTAAAATATATACCATCAAAAAATATGTACTTAGACTAATAAATCTTTTATATTTTACATGAAGATTGTATGTCTACCATAAATCTCTACTCTGAAATGTTCTGCCTGCAAACATTTTTACAACACTTATTTATGAGATTAGTTTACTAACTTCATTACATGGAGGAGGGTACTTTAAATAATAATATCTATCAGAAATGATAATTAATTTGACTCTTATCTACTCTTGCAGTATGTGACTACTATGAGCACTTTTATTACCTTTTGAAGATAATATAATTGTTTCTTATTTGGCAAGTGGATGAAAGCAGAATTAGAAACCAAAATGAACACCATGGATAAAACACATTGGCATATTAAAACAGACATTGTTAACAAATTACCTGCTGGCTTTAAAGAAAAATATAGGTTCAGTCAGTTAATGTTTTATTAAATCATTCTCATTCAACAAGTTTTGATTGAAATTTTCCTCATTATGAAAAATATATTTGGCATGTCATAACAAAGAAAAATATTCTTATTTACTAAACTGTTTTCTTCTGTGTAATGCTGCTAACTAAACATAAATAATTGCTTAATATTTTCTTTTAAATTGATAGTATGGATTTAAGCAGGAACCTCTATGGCAGTGGGAAATGCTTAAACTTAAATTTTGGCTTTTTTAACCAAAAAAAAAAAAAAAAAAAAGCCAAAAATGATGGTTGGTGATCATTAGCAGAGCTTCCATAGGTCCTGCAGAGTATCTGAGGTCAGGGTTTAGAGCTCAGCCTAAAGCAGCTGCAGACATTGTTGGCTCAAATTGAGCAACTCAGGGTCCTGTGAAGAATCATGCTTTAATCCTTCCCCCTGGTCTTTCGAGGGATTCATCCATTTAAAGGGGTTTCCCTCCTAAAGGGAAGAAAGTAAGGAAGGGACAGGCAAGGGGCCCTGGATTATGGAAGACAGGATGATTGGACTTGAATTGTACACTCACATGCCTGTTCTTTTGAGCCACCAAAACCGCTATTCCGAAACGTGCTAATACCATGAGCCCTTCCGTCACTCAACAGAGGCAGAATAATCAGTCTTTAAATGCAAAGAAATGTGTTCATAAATTAGCTTCGGTATCATCTCTCTAGAACCTACTGTGAAAACCTAGGCGGACACTCAGTCAAATCCTAGGCCTGGGAAAAGCGGAGGATTTTTCTCTAGGAGAGGAACCTGAAGGAAAAAATGTTCAGGTAACACAGGCTGTCACAGACAAGGTAATGGACTTGTTTAATATAAGCAAAGAGCTGCGTCTTACAGCTCTAAATGGGCTGAAAGCCCATTTCTTAACCCATTCCCCTCTTAGCCCCCTCATCTCCTCAAACATGTGTCCTCAAAGAGTCTCTGGGTTTTGGCCGCTGACGGAATCATGCCCTCAGTTTAGGGCCTTGTCAGGAAAAGGAGGAGCATCAAAGAGAGAGAGAGGAAGGAGTTGCAGCCACACCTCTCCTGGCCACATTGTTTCTGAATACCTCATTTAAACAACGAAAGGAGGAGAAATTACCTAGTTAGTTGGAATCTTAGAGTTGATCATTACAGAGAGTAAGTCAAGTTTTTATCTTTTAATCTGAAATAACCAGAATGATGGTTATTCCCCTCACGAGAAATTCTCACCCTTGTGTAGATGGAGGTTCAGGTTTTGGTCTTCAGTTGGGTACTTTTAAGACAGGCCTTACATATGACTCTTGGAATTTTTCAGTTCCATCTGGTAATTTGGAAGCATCATGTGACCAGTGACTTTTCAGTGCTTTTGGAAGGATATTGGCCACTTTATCAGCTTTGTACACAGACAAAGTGCCCATTTTACCATCATTTCCATTTTTGCATTTTGCTGAGGACTTATGTTTTTGGTGGCACTCTGTCTGCCTTCTACATCCATTTCTTCCTCACCAGCCTTAAAACGGAGACTGTAGGGAAAGGGATGAGAGCCTCCCTGGGTATCATTTTTCTTCACGGCTGGTGAAAAAAGAAGTCTACCTCCTTCATCTCTCTTCTCAGGCTTTTGGGAAGTGAGGAGGAACAGTCCTGCCCCAAAGCCAGGTGAGATTTGAGGCCAGTGGTTCCCTTGAGCATTTCTCCAGTACCTGTGGAAGAGTCTCACCTTCTGTTGTTTCCACATCTGTGCATCCGCTTGTTCTGCCCCCATCCTTGAAAGCAGCTGATGGGGCTCCTATATCCTTATGGCCTAGCTTATTAGAACCTTCCAGAGGAAAACTTTTTTTTTTTTCTTAAGATGGAGATTT